CATACTTATTTGAAAACATTCACTTTTATTTTTTTGTACTACGTCACTTATCCACCCTCTTCCATTCTCACCTTATGGTGGAAATTTTGTTCTATCTAAACGATCCCAAGTCACTGTCTGGTTGAAAATTGAATGCTACCACCGAATACGAATACTGAAACAGTTTTCCTGAAACCACGTTCACCATTCAAACTGGCTTCCTTTAACGTTCACACTCTAACGCAGATCGGACAACAAATAAGGCTGGCTATTTTTGTGCGGCGCATATATATCTGTTGTCCCCTTGTACCAATACTTATGTGTTCAAATAAATAAATACATTTTGAAGCATAATTGGGATAATTTCGAACGAGATAAAAAAAAAATCTTTTTTTGGAAAATCCATACATAATAGGTATTTCATTCAATTGTAAGTGTTGAACTACAGATTTGAATTCTCTTTTGACAACTTAAACCGAATAGTTTTAACTATAGTTATAACGTAACCATATAGATATGCATATTTATAGTCAATGAAATTATTGAATAGAATGCAAGTTGGAATCAGAATATTACATTGTTTGAATAGCTTCTAAGCCATAAAAAATATATTCAAACTAAAACTCAATAGTTTCTTTGTAAATTGTAAACTTATTATCAAAATCACTATTATCAATCATTCAGTCATGAATTACAGAGAACCTCGCAAGATGGTGAATCGTCGTACAAAGTTTATTACTATTATTATTATTGTTATAGACTGCTCGTACGGGTTTTATGCGTCATTGGTCCGGTTGATAATTCATTGTTCTCTAATTGGCGGCATTATTACGTTATACATTGTTAGAGGCACAGGGAACAAGTTATAACAATTATTATTAATACTGTATCATTACGTTGACATCGGAAACTAGTTTATTGCATTTCTTATAGAGATCTCAACTGTATCATATTAAAAACAACTAAGAAAAATTCATGCGACTACAATATTGTACTAAACATACAATACTATTAGTTACTATTAGTATGTTGTATGTTCACCTCAATGAACGAACCATGAAATTTTTTCAAAATCTTTATTTCAAACTTATTCATATTTTTTGGCAATTTTAATGTTGATAAAATTGTATTAATGTGTAAGCTAAAAATCAATGAATCAGTAATATAGAAGGATCAGTAAGAATATTCCAGATTTTTAAACAAATAATTTATGTTAAATATGGATGTTTGTGGAATTTTTTTTAAAATTTATTGTTAGTTTTCATTAGATCCAAGATCACCGACCCAGTATTCAGTCGTCCATATATAGTACTGTCTGTGAGTAAATCTTTACATATAATATCAGTCTATGACAAAAACTAATAAGATAAACTAAGCATTGAAAGCTACTAGACCAAAAAATCACAATTCTTCACTCACGATAGACCACATAGAGAGATATAGATTCAACACTGAATAAAAACTTAGAAGTAAAACAACCGATTAATGATTCTTGGTTCATCAAAATTTCTCAGTTTATGTTGAACTGAAATAAACCCTATCAATTATTTTATTAAATAATAAATTAAATCGCCCAAAATTCGAAATATAATCCAATTCTCTACAACAACAACAACAACAATTATCCTCGTCCAGACTATTGTAGATAATATTATCATAAATGACCTTAAAAATGATCTCGCCCATTTATTGATTTATCCTCTGTGTGTGTGCGGTTATTTTTAACGAAGAAAGAAAAAAATTATTTATTTTTTGGAGGAAATAAGGCATCGAAGACAACACCCAAATAAATGAAGCGTTAAAATTGTTCCATTTGTTTATCTTAAGTGAAATATTCATCTATATCGACTACTACTACTACTCGTGATCAACTTTTATACTGTTTACGATAATAATAGTTAGACTTACACGAATGTTATATTTCCATTAGAGTAGTAAGGAGAATTAAGCATGTCAGCTTAACTAACATTTTACCGTCCAAGAAGCACCGAAAAATGGGCTTTTAGATCAAATATTTTAATTTTGGTTTGATTGATATTTTCCCTTACACTATATACTTATGGAATCCTGTTTATGTAAACTGGAAAAAGTACTCTTGTTCAGTACACGCTGCATAAGTTTATTGTAGTGTGAAAAATCGTAAAAATTGGCTAAAATATGTATCTTGACAAATGTGAGTGCAAAAGAACCTTTCTCAGCAGGGTCACCTGCTTTACAATTTTAGGAAAGGCTAATCGGATCTTCAAATCGTTTAACACACTTACCTTCACTGAACATCTGTAATTATTGTTACTTGCAGCTGAGATTGTGAAAAGGTCTTGTAGCTCGTGTAGATGAATGAGGTGGAGTTTTGTTCTGTAAGCTGGATGGTTTGGTCGCAAAGCTTTCACTATTCTGAACAACATCATCGGTACAAACTTCTATCTAAAGCTCCATGACCAAACTATTTAGCTCAGAGAAAAAAACTCCGTTTAAATCAAGAGATGGTTAAATATATCTCTCATTGACTTCAGCTGAACATGTAAATTATTAGATTTGTATTTGGGTATGTGAACGTGTCATTTTTGCTAGTTGGTTTAAAGCTAGTTATTAAGTAAGCACAAATAGATATGATAAGCTAGAATTAACAGGTGTCCAGAGTACCATAGTTTATAATGATTCTAGGACTGGTTTTAATCAATAATGAAATGCACTCGGAACTCAGGTTCTATTCAGATAAATAATGGCCATTGTTTGTTGTGCTGATCACAACTACTTTTCAATAATAACTGACACATCTGGCAGAAATTCTCTCTTGTTTACTTTTTACCAAAACACGAACATATTTTCCCTTTTTTTATTAATAAGCAGTGATATGATGTGATAAGAAAATGACATTATTTAGGTCAATATCTTTGGTATCAATTCATCATGAATTTCGGCCAGGGTAACGGGTGCAAACTTCGTTCAGTGTGACATTTTGATTGTATTCTGGACGTGTTGTTAAGTGGAGAAGTTACAATGTTATGATGATAGACATACTGAAAAACTACATTAAGGGGAAAACACATTTTAATTGTATTATTCCATTTCTCAAAGAGAATAAGCTTCCCATGTTTAATTTTTGGGGTCGGAAAATTTGGTCAAATGACACGTTGGAAAATATATGAGAAATACTTTGAGACAAAAGGAATGACGAAATCAGTTGGACCCAAGTCTTAGGAAGAGTACTTCTTCACGAGGACGCACATTTAACGGGATTTATAATGAATGTCCTAATAGCACAGAATCCTAATCTCAAAGCATAAAGTAATTGTGATTGGAACTGGCTACACACAGACTTTCTGTAGCAACTTTTTATTTCACATGTTCACCAATTTGAGCCCTTTTAGTGAAATCAAGATCCGGGTGGGAATATACTGATTGTAAATCACAGGTTTTCCAACCTATTCCTACTTTTGGAAATTTGTGTCTAAAAGAATACAGCTGGAGATATTGAATATCAAACCGTTTTTGCAGTTCAGTACATATACTACTTCTTCGTTGGATCCGAGACTTAGCGTTCCTCAAATGAATTATTTGGCACCGTAGTACCTCAACAAGTAATATCAGTGAATTCGAGTTAAATGAAACAACAAGATAGAAAAAGTTTCTGTATTTTAAGAACAATTTTATGTTGAAAATCATATCGTAAATACGATAATCACGAGACGCTTAGTTTGTTATTATATATTATCCACATATTTCAAAATGCCGAAGTAACTTCATAAATGTTACAGAGAGAAAACTGGGTGTTCAAAACACGTTAATTCAAGTACAAATCTCCCTTTGTACTATTTTTAGTGACATAATTACTTTAAAAATCCAATCCCTCTCACCTGTCTGAATAAAGAAAACTTATTCACGTTATTTTTTACGTTCGTACACATACCCTTTATGTTACATTTATAGCTCAGATAGCTTGCTAACATATGTACACTTCGTTTTTGTTTCAATTTCATAATTGTGGAATTATCTGCCTACTTCTGGATCGATCTTTCCCTTGCCAATTGAAATTCATATAACTAAAAATTCCACCTACGCGTAGATTCATTAATCCTTTGAAATACCACAAGTCTACCTTGTAATTTTTCAGTAACTCATATTTAAGAATTGAGTGCCAAAAACTTAGACAAAGACACATAATAGGCTCAGTATTTAGTTGTTGAGCTATAGCAATACGTTTAATTAATAGATAGTAGCTCACGAACGGTTCTCAGCCGTAGCACTAGTGAACAGCCGGTTTGTCTTTTTTCGAATGGTTCTCAAATATAAGTTAACTGATGACGAGAACTATCTCAAGATGATTTGTTATAACAAAACTGTTTGGAATACTTAATAGTAATACTATGTGAAAACGAATCCGAAACTGTCGAATTTTTCAGAGTTGAAGCCAGAACTACGTGTGGAGGAAATATCAAGGTACTTACTTGTACTCGTACGATCGTTTACTAACTTTAATGGTGATAGAATTGACTTCGAAATTGATCTAATTAGCACTAATCTTTATTGATTTTTACTAAGATCTATTTTGTAGTAAATATGACCTACTTTTGATCAACCGGTACTTACTACATTTTAAAACTAATAATTTTCGTCATTAGAGATATGGCTGAAAACCGAACATAGTAATGTGAATGCATTCATTGCTTCTATTCCTTTAAAGTTGAAAAGCGTAGCATTCCACACATTTTATTCATTCTTCAGACTTTTTAATTTCAGGTTTTCACTGTTATTGGTGCTTTTACGCAATATGTTCAATCTTGTTAGTTAGTTTCTAATCGTTGTGCAGGTTTGAGATGTACTGAAAGGAATCAATACACCTATGGGTCAACTCCTATGTTGTCTATCTTTCTATTCATATGATAGTAACAAAAGTGAAAGAACAATCAATTTGTTCAAGAATACTTACAAGAACAGTATTTACTCCCATTACTTTATACATGAAAAATTCAAAACATACAACACCAATTTGACACTCTTAAAGTAAGAATTTACACTTATAAGAACCACTATCCAAATAGGAATATATTTACAATATCTGATATATAATATAAAATCTTTAGAAAAATTGGTATCGCCCGACTAGTCAATTTGAGAATGCTGTTCGGTATCTTTTATGGTTATCTGTGGTAAACCGGAATTAAGCTGTTCTAGGAGAATGCATGCCTGACATATAAGCTGACTTGAAATGCATCCACACTTTTCACAAGTACCTAAACACGAAAGAAACCAAAATAAACAAATTTGTAAGTAGGTGTCATTACCAAGGTTTGATTTGATAATTTCGAATAAATTGAGCATTGGGTTGATTGTTATAAATAAAAATAATATATTTGTAATATCCCAATGAGTAGAAAATTGGATTTTCTGACGTTTCGTCACTTAGTGTAAGTCACTTCTTCAGAGAATAAATAACCAAATTAAAATTATATTAAAATATATTATTTTTACTTATAACATTCAACCCAATGCTCAATTTATTCGAAATTATCAAATCAAACCTTGGTAATGACACCTACAAACTCATTAATAACCGAATCAAATTATCCAAGTGTAAATGCAATTGGTACAATCACAGAATATTTAATAAACGATGTCTACAAGACAACATCATCCCTAAATCTCTTGTTATAAAACCTCCAGAACGATCCTGGAGATCTATCCAGACTTCTCAACACGCGTCTCGAATATTCTTACGAGAACGCATTCACAAATGCACACACTTACTAGAAAAATATCGTGAACGAATCAAAAACCTTGATGATTTACTGAAGCTTTTAATCCCGATCGAATTACAAACCACGATATCCAACCTGTTTATAGAAAGAGAACTCCACTATTTAAATTCCTCGAAACACCGACAAATTAAAAAATTCGAAAACATCAAAGAAAAGAAGAAAGATAAGAAAACATCAACAATAAAATACAATTTGAATAATCTAAGAACAGTTCATAATCTCTCCAACAGAAACTTAAACAGTCACGAAATCACTCTACTGGAGAAGGGATTAAACTTCAATTTACACAGAAAACCACTTAGCACTCTTGAAATCGCTCCGATTATAGAACCTATGATCGCACAACTACCGGAAAAAGAGTCGCATTTACTACGTCAAAAGACATCCCATATTCTGACGAAACAAAAACACATTACCCCAAACATTTCAAAAGAAGAATTGAAGGCTCTGAATTCACTTAAAAAAGATAAAACAATTATCATCACTAAAGCCGACAAAGGCAACACAACAGTAATCATGAATAAAACAGATTATATTAATAAAGCTCTTGAACATCTCTCAACAGGACCTTATGAAAAGATCAATCCAAAAACTTCTCTAACGATTAAGAATAAAGTCAAATTAGAAACAAATCAACTTCTGAACGAGCTAAAACCAATCATTGGGGTTCCGCTTTGGTTTGCTTTGCATCCCAAATCATGTAATGTCTCACGGTTTTATGGCTTACCAAAAATTCATAAACCAGATATTCCTTTAAGACCAATAGTAGACTTCACAAACACCCCAACATATGCACTATCGAAATATTTAAGCAATATATTAAAACCATTACAACTCAACCTACATAATATAATTAAAGACACATATGACTTTAAATCAAAATTATCCGGATTAATCATCAAGAAGAATGAAATCATGGTAAGCTTTGATGTCGTTTCTTTATACACAAGTGTTCCCATTGATAAATGCTTAGAATTCATTAAGGGTTTACTTGAGAACGACAATACTCTTCCTGACAGATGTCCGTTGAGCATCAGTCTAATCATGAAATCATTAAAACTTTGCTTAAATTCAACGCTATTTACTTTTAACGGTATTTTATTCAAACAAACTAACGGAGTAGCAATGGGATCCCCCGTGTCCCCGATTGTAGCCAACCTTTTTATGGCATACATAGAATCAAATATCTTCGCCCACAACATTATACCACGAATTTGGCTTAGATATGTAGACGATACATTTGTGGTTATAAAAAAGACTCATCTAAGATCTTTTTCAAAACGAATTAATACACTCTCATCGCAAATCAAATTCACCAATGAAAATGAAAATGCTCATGGTGAGCTACCATTCTTGGATTGCTTAGTAAAAAGAAATCCAAATGGAAGTCTAAACTTATCCATTTACCGAAAGCCGACGCATTCAAATCGTTATATTGACTTCCATTCAGCACATCCTTTCAGTGCTAAGATCTCGCTAGCCTTAAATCTTTTTAGAAGAGCTAACAAGATCATCACATCAGAGGAAGACAAACGAAAAGAACAAATGAATATAATTAGTACCTTACAATTTAATAATTTTCCTATGAAGATTATTAGAAGCATATTAAAACAAAACAATTTATTACATTATAATAATGTTTCGAATGAAATGCCATGGATTGGTACTGTAGTTCTACCATACCGTCATGGCACAACAGAAGAAATTCAAAGAATCTTAAAACACCACAGAATTAAAGTGTATTACAAAACAACGAACACACTACGTAATACTTTAGTTCGCCTGAAAGAAAAAATCCCTTTCATGTCCACACAGAACTGCGTCTACAAATTAGGTTGTATCGATTGTGATGCCTATTATATTGGAGAGTCATCCCGCGAAATCGTGACTAGAGCCAAAGAACATATTAGGTACACAAAGAAACCTCCTAACAATCCGGTAGAATTGAACCAACTTCAAATTAAATCGGCAATAGCAGTTCATGCCATTTTCAACAACCACCAAATCGATATTAAAAATATCAAAATATTGCAAAAAGGCTTTTCCAACTACAAAGAAAGGAGGGTAGCTGAGGCGTTCCACATAATGCTTAATCCTACTTCTCTCAATAGAAAAGAAGGCCTTACCATACACCCTACTTGGACCATCTATCCTAACCATTCAGTCTGATCGTATTTACAATTTCACAAATTTAAACTCTATCCTTTCTTACCATAAAGGTCACATAAGTTTTCATTCTTAAACAATGCACATATACATACACACACAAATTTACATACTTATCACTTATGAATCACCTTGACAGAAATGACATGACATCAACTTGTTCAGACCTGTTTTTTGATTGATCAAATATTATTCTTGCATTGTTCCGTTGTACTATTTAAACTTGGATTAATTTTAATTTGGTTATTTATTCTCTGAAGAAGTGACTTACACTAAGCCACGAAACGTCAGAAAATCCAATTTTCTACTCATTGGGATATTACAAATATATTATTTTTATTTATAAATTTGTAATTAGCTGATTTGCAGAGATTTGTGTAAGTCATATAAAATGAAAAGAACATGTACCCAATAAAGTGTGATCTAGACGCACAGCATACTTATCAGGTGATAAAGAAAAAGACATCTAACCCGAACTATAAACAGCATTAGTTAGTAGAAGTCAAACAAGACCTTTGTACTCATGTGCAAAGATTTTGCCTGACATCAACCCACCAAAAGTGGTGATTGAAATGATCTATGTGTTCAAATAATTCACTCCTTATTGCCAAACTAGATATCAACATAGATTAAAACCGAAGTAGAATTTTGGATATCAATCGTAAGAAACATGTACCAAATATTTTTGCATTATCATAAACAGAATATTGTTTTTCTTTACCATTCTCACTTAAACTTAGCTTTAAAATTAAATCGGTTAGTGGAAAAAAATAAATAGTAAAATATTAAGACTAGGCTTGAAATATAAAACTAAGTTTTATCTATCTAAAACAAAATTAGTTTAGCACAAATCATCAAATTTAGAAAACTAAAAAGGAATAAAGTAACTTAGCAGAATATGCGAAATAGATAAAAAGTAATAAAATATTCATAATACCATTCGATAAGTCATTTCATATTAAGATGTTGTTAATTATGGTCAATACGGATACTAGATAAGAATTGATCAAAGTGGCAATCGTTAAAAAAAATATAACGCATAACTAACTATAAATGTTGGGATCAACGCAACAAATCATCTATACCCAATTCACTATACTATAAATAATCCGATTGCGTGACATTAGTTGGGTTTTTTTTTTCTAGTCATAGTAAATCTCGTACACTAAACGCCCATACTGAAGCTCAAGAGTTGGTATCTAAAATATGTATTTTAGACACATAATGAATAGCAACTCAATAACCGCGTATGGTTTAGTTTAGTAAACTACGAGTGACACTTATTATGGACGGATTACAGATACTACAAGGCTGTGACAATCGAAATAGGAGTAGCACAGGTTATACTAGTGCTGAACTGATGATAAAAAGCTGACACGCATTTGATTTGCATACAATAATAGAATGAGTACAATGTTTTTATTTGAAAGTGAAGACATACTTTTCTGAGGCATCTTTACATCACTTCGAATAGCCATACGTTCACCGGATGCTATAATATCTAAATCAAATAAGGTGAATTCCACTCTAACAGAAAGCAACCCACCTATAATAGTCCTAGGTCGTATTCTCTCCAAATCCTTGATAAACGCTCTTACATGCCCTCTAAATAATAAAAAACACGATAAAATACCACTACTTACCGATAAGCTTGTGGTGCGTATTTACATTCAGTTGAAAAATAATCCAATTTATGCATATGTGCATACATGACAATCTCCTTTTCGTAAGCATATTTAAAAGGTTTAAAACGAGGAAGTATATCATCTGTACCCTAAATATATTTGTATGAGTAAAATTAACTTGAAAACTCCTAGTTTTTCCATTACTTACTGTCATTATAGCTGTACATCGTTTTAATCGACCAATATCACCTCGTAGAACTGTAAGCAAAAAAGGGAAAATGAGAAAACTGTTTCTGTTTCAATTCAGCACATAAAATCCCATAAAAAGCATATAAAACTCTCAGCAAACCAAAACACATATTTAAACCGAGCAGTTGTAACTTACTATTCATTAACACTGTCTCTGCAATATCATCAGCGTTATGACCAGTACATATTTTGTTAGCTCCAAGAAGTAGTGCACCTTTGTCCAAAGCCTGGCGGCGAAATATCCCACAGTAAGTACCTACCAAATTTTTTCAATAAACAAAAACACTAGTGCATCAACTACAATTTCGTTTATTCCCAATATGCTTCACAATATCATCCATTGACCATCCGTACAAATCCTAAAAATCGTTTAGACTGTGAAGGAGAGAATCTACCTGATAAGAAAGAATTTTTAACGGAAGTCCATATTGGATCTGATTTCGCTGAACAGTCTAAAAAATCATTATATTGCAAATATTTTAACTAAAAATAAAACAAACCTTACCATTAATGAGTCATCTCTATATCCACTTATACCTTCATCAATAGATAAAAGAAGCAATTCCGCTCCATAATCATATCTTTTATTTAACAAGTTTAGTATGTAAGCTAATACGGTAGAATCTAAAAATACAAAAATATATACATTTATATAGACTTCCTTTGCTTTATTTTTCTACACCTAATTATTTTTAGAAACTAATAATCAGCTATCACTACAACAGTCAATTGTTCTATTCTTAATATTTATCAAGTAGACAATTATCTTCACCTTGATATTTTCTATTAACAGTTGGATCATTGCACACCTTCCTATCAATATGAGATTTTCGTGAACTTATAAAAAGACGCTAAATCATTTTCTTAAAATTTATTCAGCACCATTCTATTTTACCACATATTACTACTATTTTTAGTAAACAATACAATAAAAAATACAGTGCAACCGTACAGCTTAGGCCAACGAAAATATCCATAAGTTAGGCGTTCACGCGCAAAACCGCAAGTTCTGAGCTCGAGTCACGCATGAGGGATCGTGGGTGCGCACCGGTGAGGAGCCCCATGATAAGACGAAACGGCCGCCTAGTGCTTTTAAGTTTCTGATGTTGGCCTAGTTTAGATCAACTCGTGATTTCAACTGCGAAATTTTTTTAGCTTAAATATCTCTATTTCTTCATCGATTAATAAAAGGAAATCTATGATTATGTTTACCTTTACCACCAGAGGCACCAATAGCAATTTTATCACCACGACTAATAAGCTTGGCATTTACAATTGTCCAATGTATTTCTTCTTCGAAACACCAAGAAAAACATTCTTTACACATAATATCACTCTATATAAGTCAAGTTGAAAAATAATTCAAAAGACATATACGGTTTTCGGGCGTTTAATATAACCCTTTGACTGACATCTGCAACACGAAACTGGCATACTAGTTTTACACTTCCTAAAATAGGAATTTGTTTGAAACAAAGGTGAATGAAATTGAATACAAAAGCCCATAATAGCAAAGATAATGCTACTCATTAAAAAATGATCTCCCCAACCACGGTATGATCGATACAGTATAGTGAATGAACTGGTATCATTCTAACTATTTATTGCTATATCACCTAACATTTAATAAAATTACTGCGTGAAATATTAGCTTAACATAAATTTAACTTTGAGACGATTAGTTGAATGAAGAATAAATGTAAATACATTTTAGTCATAAAGATTATAAAAATGAACTATTTACGACAAAGTGCAATCCTAAATGAAATTTCGCAATTTGAAAAACCTAAAGGCAGTCAGTCACAACGCAGAACGTGTACTTATGTACATCGGTCCAAGTCACCATACTCCATTAGCATAGATAGATGTTGTCGGGTTAAATCCCAGGATAATAGGAGTAATAACAACATCAGAGGTAATGGGAAAGAATAGGCATCGAAGATACGTCAGTCAGTCAGTCACCAGCAACGTAGAACTTCGTACGTATGTACATCAGTTCGAGTTGCCATACCACATTTGCACAGAGATGCAGTTAACGATTCAAATCCCATAGTGGTGGAGGTGGTAAGAGTATAAGCAGTAATCGGAAAGATTAGGGTTTGGAGATGTTATTTAAAGAGTATAATCCAGTGAAATAAATTTGGAAAGAGAAAAAAACAAGGAGGAATCAAGAGATTAGAATTTGGAAGAACACAATGAGTGTATGCACCTGTGTCATTGTAAACGGTTTCGAGCCATGTCATTTAGGGTCTCACCATAGGTTGCTATCGTCTCGCGGGTCTCTACCAGGTAGTCTACACCTACCAACATGGCTCAGTCCACTTGTCAGTGACTTCATGGACTTGTGCTATGTTTTAGTCTGGCCGCCCCTAGCTTTCTTCCAACCTACTCCTACACCAGAAACCATCGCACGTCAGGGCATTCGATGGTTGGGCATCCGTAACACGTGTCCCAGCCATCTCAACTGATGAAGTTTCACTACTTCATCAATTGATTTGCCATCCTTACCTAGTACCCGTTTCCTAACAACTGTATTACTTACTCGGTGGTCCCAGGATATACGAGCAATGTTTTGAAGACACCTATGATCAAACACTAGTAACCTACGAATATCCTCTACCCTTACCGGCCATGTTTCACTGCCATAAAGTGGGACGGGACGAACTGCTGCGCAGTAAACCCGTCCTTTGGTTGATAGACGGATATCTCGCCTACGCCATAAATGACGCAAGTTCCCAAAAGCTAGTCGAGCCTTCTGTATCCGTGCTGAGATTTCGTCACACACCAGACCACAAGGGCTGATGAGACTTCCAAGATAAGTGAAGCGATCGACACGCTCAATTACTTCACTCCCTATCATTAGTTCGGGTGTCGATGCAACCCAATCCTGAAGCAACATTTTACATTTCGAGGGTGAGAATCGCATGTCGAACATGTTTGCATTGTTGCTTATAGTGGTCAGAAGAAATATTACGATTGTAGGGCATCTGAATGTGTGTCTATGTCCTAGAACCCGACGTAGTGTGAATATCTGGTCTATACAACCACGTCCAGGTCGAAAATCAGCCTGGTTTTCTCTAGTCTGCTCTTCACGAGCTTTAGTTAGGCGTCGAAGTATTATTGAAGCTAATATTTTAGACACTATATTAGTCAAACTGATTCCTCTGTGATTGTCACAAGAGGACTTTTGTCCTTTCTTATAGACTGGCACAATCAGTGATTGAGACCAATCAGATGGGATTACGTCCAGTTCCCAAATTCTACCTAAGACCTCAGTTAATCTCACTGCTAATACTGAACCACTATCCATAAAAATCTCAGGAGTAAACCTGTCAGGGCCTGCTGCTCTCCCTCGCTTCAGATTTCCTATGGCTTTTTCAACTTCGTAAAAGGACGGAGGACCTACATTAACTTGCCATTCAGGTTGACTAGAGATAGTGGAAAACCGAGGTGTGGCTGAAGGCCAGTTGAACTGATTCCTAAAGTGTTCTGTCCATCGGTCCAATCTCCTGGATTGAGAATGTATAATATGTCCATCTTTCTCTGAGAGTGTTTCGCTAACAGTCGGGTTCCTAATACCGGTTTCCTTAACAAGTCTGAACAATTGTCTACTATTACCTATTGCCGCTGCCTTTTTCATCTCTCTTGCTTTCGCTACCCACCACTGTTCGCGATCATTGCGTAGACTTCTTGTCAGCTTGCGCTTAAGTTGACTCCGCTCTTCATTATGTTCAGAGCCAGGTGGAATGAGTTTCCGAGCATCTATCAGTGCGATAGATGCTGATGAGATCCAGTGTACCTTACTAGCAGACATCACTGCTGTTTCCATAGCTTTTCTGATACCAACCCACACTGCATCGGGGTGAGCATCACTTATATGGCTGCCTAACTTTTACTAGTTGTTCCTGAAATATATTCTTAGCTTGGCTATCATTAAGTAGGACCCTAAGAGGTTTCCTTGCAGTGTCTTTCCTACGTCGAGTAAGACGCAGACAGGATACGACCCTAAAAGAAAATATAAACTAGCAAAATAAAAACAAAAAGTTGATATGAGGAATTTAGAATCTCAGGATTTAAGGGAAGACAAAGAATCGATGCACCTGCGCCATTCCGAATGATTTTGATCCATGTAATTCGAAGTCTCTAACCACTGGTTACGATAATCACGCGGACCCCAACCAGGTAGTTTTTACCCATTAACAAGGCTAAGTCTAAATGTTAGTGACTTGATGGACTGATGCCATGTTTTGATTTGGTTGCCCCTCTATTTTTTCAGCCTCCTCCTGCTCCAGAAAACATCGCCCGTAGAGGAGAATGGTGGCTAGGCATTCTTAACACGTGTTCCAACCACCTCATTTGAAGATTTACTACTTCATCAATCGAATTACCATCTTTACCTAGCACTCTATCTCTAACACAGGTATTGTTTACTCCGTGGTCCCGAAATACATGATCAATGCTTCGTAAACACCCATGATAGAATACTAGTTACCAATGAATATCCTGTACTCTTAATGACCATGTTTTACACCCATAAAGAACGGAGTGAACTACTGAGCAGTAAATTCGCCCTTTGGTTGGAAGACGAGTATCTCGCTTACGCCATAAGTGACGCCAGTTGACAAAAGCCACTCAAGCCTTCTGGATGCGTGCTGAGATTCCATCAGACACCAGACAATCAGTATTGATGAGACGCAAATACTTCACTCCTTATCATTAATTCGGGCTCTGACACAAGTCAACCTTCAAGTAGCATTTTGTAATCAAAGAAAGGCAATCCAATCTCAAACATGTTTGCATTGTTGCTTAAGATGGTCAGAAGACTTTGTATTTTGTTGGTGTCTTCATCAAACAGAACTATATCATCTGCGTATTCTAAGTTAACAAGTGAATCTCCTGGTCGAAGGCCAACCCTTGAAAATACAGATGATGAGTGTTATCTCTAAAACCATATCTATGACAAAGTCAAGTAAAAGTAGAGAGAATGGAAAACCCTGACGAACAACACTTTATGTTATAATCTCTCTTTCTTCTTACGGTTAATGACCCAGCTATTCCTATTGCTTAGTATTCTCGGACACCGATTCACTCGACAAGTCCCCAAATCAGAACACGGTTGAACAGGAAAAAGATTATATTCCAAATAGCAAGTCAGAAGCCAGTAGGAAGCACAATAGGGGAAAACGTCGGTATATTTATAGTTTTTACATAAGAAGATTCCAGAGTATTCTCCGACTATCGGCTACTGCTGATTGGATAAGAATCAGCCAATCAGCGTGCACCAAAACAATCATGCATTGAGCATGCTTTAATCTAGTCTATGTCTCGCTAACACTTTAAGAAACTAATTTCAAAGATAGTTCGTCATAAGCTCTGACTCGATCAGTAGTATTCGAGTAGAGAGCCTGTACAAGGTTAATGTACTTCTTTGGTACACTTTTCAATGACAGACACTACCATAAAACCTCACGATCGACATAGTCGAATGCTGTCTTAAGGTCAAAGAATACAACTACAGTCGAACGTCAATAAATGTATCTATGTTCCAGGATCTGCCGAAGGGTGAATATATGGTCTGAAACCGGCCTTGTTTTCTTGAGTTTGCTCTTCACGAGCTCCAATTAGACATCAAAGTATCAGTGAGGCTAATACCTTAGATACTATCAGATAAACTAATTCCTGTGATTTTCTCCTTTCTTATAAACTGGGACGATAAGTGATCAAGATAAAGTCCAGTTCCGAAATTTTACTTTAGATCCCAGTTAATCTAACTACTGAGACTGAACCACCATCCTTAAAAACCTCAAGGGTTAGTCCATCAGACCATGATGCTTTCCCTCGCTTTGGAGTGCTTATAGCGTTTTCAACTTTACTAAGTGTTTAGCATTCATGTTGCTTGGAGATTGTGAGTAAGTGATGTGTGGCTGAAGGCCGACTGAACTGTTCCCAAAGTGTTCTGCCCTTCAGTTCAGTTTCCTGGATTGAGAGTGAAAGATAGTCCCATTTCTTTGAGATGGTTTCGCTAGCAACCTGTATTTTAATACCCGTTTCCTTGATGAGTCTAAACAGTTGTCCACTGATTTCTCCCAACCTTTTGGTTTAAGTTACTGGTAGATATCACTGATGTTTCCATAGCTTTTCGTTTATCATACCAAGCTTCCTCGGGACGAATATCAATTTCATGATTGACTAGCTCATTCTTCAATTATTCCTAAAATATATTCTTAACTTTTTCACCATTAAGTTTAGCTCTAAGGGGTTTAATTGCTGTGGCTTCTCTACATCTAGTAAGACGGCCAAGCTCGACCACCACGTCAAGGTGGCAGCTACTTCAGGGTAGAGTGAAATGAGTGTGAGATTAACATTTAGTCAGTCATAATCAATCGAGTCCGGAACAAATGTTCGTCAGCTCGAGTTGCCACAATACATTAGCACGAAGAGATGACACTAACAGGTATGATAGTAAAAACCATTTTATTTAAACTCTACAAGGATATAGAAAAGCTTATTACCCATATTTTTCATGTACCTTTACTATATCGGTGCTATTACTCCGAATAATTTGTTAGTCTTATCACTCTGTACCGATATGATGTGTCAATTTAGGATAATGCATATTTGTACTAGGTCCTATGTTAATCATGACTGACTGATATAAGACAATAAAGCGAACTAAAACTTTAGTGTCTAGAAGAATACCTCGATTGATAGTGAAAAAGCCGATTGGGCTGGTTTAAGTAGTAAGACAATGTCACAAACTAATTGTATAAGTGATTAAATTACTAAGAAATACTTGACCGGAAGCGGCACCGTTACTCACTAAAATGACGCTGTAGCTATATTCCCATACAAAACGTCCCTAAGAAAAATAAAGTATCTTCAGAATCAGAACCAAAGCAGTTGGATTCCTTCAATGTTTTATAAATCCTTCAAAATATGTATAATAATCGAACAAGACGGAAAATGGATATGTAGAAGGCAGGAAATCTACCAAAATAATTTCGATATTGTTATCAACCAGTACAAAAATAGTGCTCCTAGTGGTCAAGTGTTCATTCCAACAAACCTATCAGATAATCACGAAACTAGATCTGCAACATAATACTAAAGTATATATTTAACAAATTTGCGCCATTCAAAATGAACAGTAGTAGACTAATCGCCATAAGCAACACGAGTTTGATTACAATAATGAGAAAATTTACAAACAAAATATAGTGCTTCAGTCACTTTCATATCATGCATGAAAGAATTCCCACAAAACGCACCTTAAAGGCTGGGCAGGGGCAGAATCTTGTAGTAGTCTATAAATTACATTTTATACACAGGCTAGTCATGGATGAAAATGTAAAATATGTGAATTTTAACTTACTAAGCGGGAAGCAAATACGAGATAACAGACGGTCCTGAACGGACTACCCATGAATGACGCGCGAACCTTCGTTCACAAGTCAAGCCTCAAAACCATAAGATAAAAATTGAAATTGTATGTGGAATGATGTGGTTTTTATTTTGATCTGAAACAATAAAGGAAAAACACCTTAAATGGCTTTCCTCACTGTTCATCTGGAAGTGAAGTTGTGACAGCAAATTAGTATCCGAAACAGTTATTTGAGTAAAAATATAGAGAATTCGGGGAAGAAAATTTTCCTTTCGAACTCATCTACTAAGGTTGAAAATTTGCATTTGTAGTCGTATGGTTGGTATACTTCTATAGGCAGATAGAAAAGATTGTATTATAAAGTTATTTGAGACATCAAATGAGGTTGTGTGATAAACAGGGATTTAGATAGGAATAGAAGAATGAAAATAACTCACATATCAGCCTTCGATATTGATGCTGAACTCATAGGTTTTACTGAACAAACCTTGGCTTTAGGCGCACACCAGATCACAATTGGGTACACCATGCAACCCACATCCCGCAACAATTAGTCAGCTTGTATCATGTATTTCACAACTCATCAACCATTTTCGAAATATTTATCTGAACCTTCTTTTCCGATTTCTAGCTTGACGGTGTTTGAGACCCTCGGTCGTAAAGATGTTACACACAACAGTGAAGCCGAATCCTGAATATCCGTTACATCCTTAAGGTAGATTCCAGACCGTCTTATGTAGATCTCTATATACTGTTCTAACACTGTTTCGTCAGGAAAGAGATTATTCCATCTGCATAATTTCGCCACAAAACTTTCTTATCTTTCGTTTTGTTTGCCCTTCTGTGTTTTACACCTAAAAGGTTGTAATCATACGTTATGGTGAAGAAAGTTAAAAGCATTGTACCCTCCTGTCACTGTTTACTGAAAAGGATGTAAATTTATTTTTTCTGAGTTTAACAAGAGTGATTTTTCCCTGTTTATTTGTGTAATGGTTGTTGAAAGTGTTATCCTACTTATAGTAATGGAATATAGAGGAAAAGTTTAGTAGATTATGTCTTATGTGATTGTTGAACGTCGTCTTTAATTGTTTAGGATTTTGAAAAAAAGTTTTGTAGTAGTATTTGCTTAATGTTCTGTAGAATGTCAGTGGCACGAAACATTAAATGTGTCACAGTGAGCAATACCTTTGTCCTTTTCTATGATAGAATGTATGAAACTAGAATCACTTGGAAAGCACGAGGTCAGTTTATCATTATCATCGTTGACATAAGTCAACATTAGTCCTATCACCTTCTCCATTCAAGTTTGGTTGAGCAGTAAGAATACCTTAGGGTAATTTTATCTCCCAAATCTTAAGATCGTCGGAACGCCATATGAACACTGAGATAGACCTGGAATCCACTAACCACCATGTCAATTTGTAGTTGTAAGTTGTTCCACAAAGTGGATGTGCGGAGTTGTCATAACTACTAATCAGTATATATTTTATTTCTGCTGTTTTTGTAACCCATGACGGATACCATCTGGTTCAGAGTGTTGCTTCGTTTCGTCTACGGTTTCGTTGCAGTCGTTAGTGTTCTATTTGGTCACTCGCATGTAGCACCAGGCCTTACTATACTCCAGCAGCCTACTTGAGTCCATCTTACTAGATGCACCCTTTCATAAGTATCAACGTGCCATAACAAAATCATGAATATAGCCAATAAGAGGCGGATGATCGCTTCACGTATGGGCAAAGACTGTCACATGTTTATATAAAAAGGTTCTAGGGACCAGATACACCGCAACGTATGCGCTCGAACTTATTCTTTAGTTGTTACCCAAATGAATAAATTGTATTTAGCTGGACCTGGTTTTCATGGCTCACTAAAAGCAGTATTTAGTTCTGAACAAAATGTCTCCTTCTACCCAACGTCCCATTGAATACGTCAAAGATGTAGAGCCTTGGGAGGTGTTGCCCTCTGTTTTATTTATAGAAGAAAGCAGACTAGTTGTTCCAGTAGGTCTTTGTTCAGGTCATCAAACAGAACAGTTGAAGTGCGTGGTTCTTTTCAAACACAACTTTCCCACTAAACAGTATGGGATAAAGGGAAATACAATGCTTATGCAAAATAAGGAAGTGAATAAATACTTGAGCTTCAATGTTTTGACACTATTAAGGTATTTTCGGTTAACTCTTAACAGCTCAACTGTACCTGTCACGTCAGCTTCCCTCAGGAATCCATTTCGATGGGGATGTCAATTCGATCAGTTTATTAGACAAAAAGATATTACTCCGGTTTCTGCAGCCCATTAGAGAATTACAAACTCATCCAGTGTCCAATCATTGTATAACTAATGATGACCATAAGTTAATCAATAATAGGAGATAGTCTATAGATGTCATATACTTCATTAGCTTGTTATCTTAACTCGGTATCACATACCTTTTTCTACAAATTAACCCCATGACTTGTACGTGCATTCTATGTGGAAATCGGAGCTAGTGAGTGAATGGAAGGTAAGAAAATGAAATTGCCACGGGTGGGCTACACAACATGAAGTTGGTGAAGTAGAATTTTCCGTGCTCTGACTGGTACCAGATGCTTACTCACCTGCCTCTTTATCTATCCTAAGGTCACAGACAAAGAAGAATCTACTTTTAAAAATATAAATAAATAAAATCAGTCAGAACTGAAGAATCGCTCCATTGTTCCTATGAAGTAATCAGATACTTGGGAAGTGTACGACTACGGGTAATAAATGTTCTGTTCCACAAAAATGTTTGGTCTCACAGAACGTACTTGTAATTTGGAAAGTAAATAGACATGGTGTAGATATCTTGATCAAGAATATGCATTAAAACGGGGTGTTGCACAAAAAAATAATATCAATAGGAACCTTTCAAAGGTCAGACTCATCACCTAACTCAATTAACTGCATGACCTACAGACTATGATGTCCGCATTTTATGGTCTGGTTAGTAGATCCCGATACAAAAAGTGTTCGCTGACCTAGAACAACCAAATATCAAACAAAAAGGCAATGGAAATACATAAAGTAAAGTCTTAAAATCAGATAGGCTTCTTAGTGTTAACGACATAAGCAGAGTCTGATGGGCTTCTTTGATTACAGCTTTAAATGGTGGTTGGAGGTAGTCAACAGGAAACCCTAGACCCGGGTTTCGTGCCACTTGGCACTCGTCAGCAAGGTATACCTGTAATCTTGAGGTAACTGGTGCTCCCTGGCCGATTCGATCTCGTGTCACCCAGCTTCACAGTCAGAGACGTTACCACTGAGCTATCCTAGCCGCGACTGACCTCCTGTAGGACTGAGATGCAATCACAATTGATTGATCACTGGGTGGTGATCAATGTCATGCATGTCTAGTCCTTATTAGTGCAGATCGAATGCTATCAATCATTTTGCAATGTTGACTACCTCCAACCACCATCTAAATCTCAATACATAGTGCCCGCAGTGTCATGTCACCTAGACTGATTGCCAGATTGCAACATGATCGATAGCATTCGATCTGCACTAATAAGGACTAGACAAGCATGACATTGATCACCACCCAGTGATCAATCAATTGTGATTGATTACAGCTTATTTCATTGCTAGTACAATTACCTATGCCACAATAGTAATAAACCTAATCCCCAAAATACAGATTTGTCATGATGCCATTACATAATCTATAAGATCTTACGCAAACGTCACACCATAGTCTACACTCACTCGTCCTATCGTGACAATCACCAACATGACGTCTAGAACTTTTGAAGAGCATATTCGGGCTGGAAGGTCAGTGTCATATTTGATACAGAAGACCAGAGATTTTATAGGGTAACTGTACCTTTGTGGCTGGTGCAGCATTCCCTAATGCTGACCCGCTCTTCATGTTAAATGTTGACCGTGAGTTTTCCCGGTTATCTCATGTTCAGCTTCGAGGACAGCGCGGTTCGAACCAGTACCATTACGGGTACAAATTTACTGAAGAAGACGAAGGACCCAAAAATCCTCCTTGAAGTCAGGGTGTCGTTCCGTAAACTGAATGTGCTTCAGTGTATTCAACGTCAGCTTTCATTGCATTGCGAATATCGAGCAACTAAAGTGGAAGAAAGTCAGTCTACTGTGAATCACATACATTTGAAAGTGAGGCGTTCAACTGTAGGTGAAGGTGTTCCAGCAACAAGTTAGCCTGTGAGTGACAGGTGGCCTTCGGGAATAGTCTGATTCCTAGTAGCGTAGTAAGAAAACAGGAAGGTCTCTATTCTAACCGGCATCCGCAATTTTTAGTGGTAGTTGACGAGAAGCCAAAGTTTGCTACCCATCGTTCAACGAGGGAGCCGGACAAAGTTTCTGCAATAGTCTCGTCGAAAAGGTTTTGCTTATGGCCATAGTCTGGAACGGTCCGCACGAGTTAGGACGTAAGAGTGTCCGCTTGAATTCGATATAGGTCCTGCCAGCCCCAGACGAACGTGATCGAAACGACCGTCGGCAACTGCAAAAAGTGTCTAAGGGACTTTTGTTGTGTCTAGCCACTTCAAACTTTTGGCAGCTTACACAGGAATGCGCTCACTCCCTTGTGTCACTATTTATCACCAGGCCAACAAAATCGTCCTAAGATGGGTTTGATGGTTGCTTGGACACCCGGATGGGAAGGTTTGTTCAACTCATCGAAGACGTTGTGTCGATAGTGTTTCGGCACGATTGGGCAATCCCTACCTATAGATATGTCACACAATACGGGTTCTTTACCTGTTCCCATCTTTTTGATCTGTAGTTCTAGAGTCGTTGAAGATAACTCGTGCTGAAGATCAGTGTCTTTTTGAGGCTGGGTGAGTTTAAGGTTGATTTCTTAGAAACTATCCAAGGACGTTATACGAAACAAGGCACCTGCCACGATATTGTTCGCCCCAAAAATGTGTTATATATCAGAAGTAATCTGTGATATGTGGTCCAGTTTTCAAGATTCTCAAGGGGACTACTTGTCTGAAGGTGAGAGTAAAGAGAAGGTATTAAGTTTGTGGTCGGTGAAAAGAGTGAATTATTGGCCCTCCACAGTGTCGAAAGTGTCGCACAGCTTAATA